ACAACAACAACAACAACAACAACAACAACTACTACTACTACTACTACTACTACTACTATTTTCTACTACTGCCCGTGCTGCTACTACTACTGCTGCTGCTACTACTACTACTACCGCTACCACAACAACAACAACTACTACTACTACTTCTTCTACTACTACCCGTGCTGCTGCTACTACTACTACTAGTGCTACTACTACTACTACTACTACTACTACTACTACTACTACTACTACTACTACTACTACTACAATTACTACTACTACTACCACTACTACTACTACAACAGCAACTACTACTACTACTACTACTAATACTACTACTACCACTACCACTACTACTACTACTACCACTACTACCACTACCACTACCACTACCACTACCACTACCACTACTACTACTACTACCACTACCACTACCACTCGACACTCGGCATGTGTGTTTCCTTGCTGGCCGTATCAACGAACCGTCAGCAACCAACCAGCACACAATATGGCCGGAACCAAAAGCACCTTCACAGAACTGCCGGGAACAAAACACACCGTGGCGGCGACAAAAAACACCCTGGGGAACCTGACGGGAATAGAAAACACCATTCCGGGAAAAGGAAACACCACGGGAACAAAACACACTAAAATGGAAACACAAACACCATACCCCAAATTAAAAACAGCAAGCAGGTCCTCTGTGTAGAATGCATATGTTGACAAGAACTGTGGGAGCATCAACTGTCGAAGCTGAAAAAAGACTTATGCGCGCGCGCACCTTTGCGCACTTTGTTTGCGGCTTTGCGCGCTTGAAGTGCAGGTTTGCCCCCAAACTGCCCAATTCATAAAAGGGGTTGCACGAAAGATGCCCCCCGACAAAAACAGGTGGAGCAGTTATTATATCTGTCTGCTCGTTGGAAGATCCAGGTGCTCAACGCTTTGCTGGGAGTGGGCGGCCTGGATCACCCGCAAAGCTCCGCGCAAGATCTGCGCGAGGAGAAGCAAGGCCTGGACTGGAACGTTTGCAGGTCAAGCTATGGAGAACTGTCCGGGGAAGTAAATGGCATATGGAAATCAAGGCATATGACCGGGGAGGCGACGGCTGGAACGGCCCAAGGCTGGGAAGACCTTGAACCACCCAGAGCTTGACATATTTATACTGTTTACCTCAATGATAGAAGAAACTTCAGCTATATATCTTCCATTTGAACGGTACACGGGCACCTTCCCACCAAACAATTCAAATAGAAGATACCGATCAACATGATCAAATTTTGAGTATTCTTACCTACTTTGCCACTTTCTGCTACAAATGATTCTGGGATTGGATCTTCTATTTGACTTTCCGATTCTGCCTGTACTACTGTTTTCGTATTCGGGGTTTCTGCCTGCACCCTGATCCTGGCCCAAGAAAGCATGTGGCAGACAGCTAAAAGAAGGGAATACTGGATGTTTTCTTCAGAAACTGGAATGTATATGGTATGTGCAGCAATGGCTGCTGTTTGCTTGGAATGCTGCAATCGTGTTAGGCTTTGCCGGCTTTCAAGGACTTGCAAAAAGCAACGCTCCTTACCATAAAGCGTTCCCAGTGATATACAAAAAGAGCGCTTGCAGTTGGAAAAGGATGGGCCCAATTCTGCATAGGAAAATGATCAAAGTCAATAGAAGATATTGTTAAACAAAACATTTGTATAACCATGAGCCCACCAAAAAACTAAGAGCAAGTTCCTCTATTCGACTGCCATTTTTTGATTTGGTTTTTGATTTGCTTTACTCGACAATAAGACATTACTTGACAATAAGACATCCCAAGGCAACAGTTTTCTTCCGGTGAGCTCTGAGACATGTTTGAGATAAACAAGCAAGATTTGCAATAAATACCCGTAAATGTTGGCTTCCAACCTCTCCCAACAGGTTTTGTCCAAGAAAGGCCAAGTTGGGTCTCAGGAGCTACCTCTGGCAGTGATTATCTTCTTTTTAAATTACCCCCCAGGCACTCCCAAAAGTGCGTCTTCTGAATTGAATTAATTCCTGAATATCTATCTTAACGGTAAAGAAAACAAAAAACTATACAATTCATCACCGAAACCTGTCAACACGTGCACCACCTCAGGGCCATCTATCTCGGCACGCCCACCTCAAGGCGCAGGCTCTGCTGCCGCTCCTGAGGCGTGGCGCGACCAATCCGGCATCATGCACCACGATCGTGATGGCCTGTTGAGCCTCGAGGCCTTCTTATGTTTTTTTTTACGAGGCTGCCGTGGTCGAAGTAGAGCTCGACCTACCCTTCTGCATGGAGCATAAGGAGACCAAGATCTTGACGTGTTGCAACCCAAAAATACTCTTAAAGTCTTTAAAACACTTCTGGGAAAAAACACGCTAACCTCAAACCTATCCCGTCAACCAGTACAACTAAACAAAAAAAATACGCCACATTATCGACCTGAACACCTAACATTAACACCGAATGAACCCTGACTGAAAGTTGTCTCGCACAGCTCACCACGTGTAACCAGTAGGTTTGAACTTTTATAACAATATACACACAAATCATAAATTTATTAAACAACGATAAAAAAATAGATGAAAACTTCATAAAGTAGATGAAAATCAATAAAACAGGTGAATTTTCATAAAATAGGTGAAATTTTCATAAAGTAGGTGAAATATTATAAAATAGGTGAAAATTACCAAAAAAATGTGATTTTTCATAAAATCGGTGAACTGTCATAAAATAGATGATAAATTTACATAAAATATGTTAAATTTCAACAAAAATAAGTGAAAATTCCTTAAATATGTAACATTTTCACCCAAAAAATCATAAAATAAGTGAATCTTCATAAAATAGGCGAAATTTCAACAGAAAAGATGAAACTTACATAAAATTGATCAAATTTCTAAAACTAACTTAGTTTTCATAAACTAGATGAAATTTATATATTTTTTGTAAAATAGATGAATGTTCATAAAATAGGTTAAATTTCAAAAACAATAGATGAAAATTCCTAAAATAGGTGACATTTACATAAAATAGGTGAAAATAAAGTAGGTGAATTTTCATACAACAGAAAAAATCATATGTGAAATTCCATAAAATAAGTGAAATTTCATACAATAGGTGAAATCATTTGTGAAATAATTTAAAAACAACATAAAATAGATGATTTTCATAAAAATAGGTGAATTTTCATACAATAGGTGAAATGCCAATAAAACAGGTGAACTTTGAATAAAATAGGTGAATTTAAATTATATAGTTGAAATTCAATAAAAATAGGTGAATTTTCATAAAATAGGTGAAATTTACATAAAATTGGTGAATTTTCATAAAAGTAGGTGAAATGTATATAAAGTAAGAGAAAAAAATTTTCACGGTGAACTCAATAAACATTTTCAATTTCACCTATTTTATGGAATTTTCACCAGAATAAGTGCTTTTGTTGGTGAAATTGGTGAGAAATAAGTGCTTTTAAACAAACATGATGAACGCACTTATTTTTTCATCAATTCCACCAACAAAAGCACTTATTCTGGTGAACATTTGATAAACTAGGTGAAATTGAACATTTACCGTGAAAATTGATGTTTCACATATTTTATTTTTGAAAATCACCTACTTAAAAAAAATAAAAATAAATAAAAAATCACCAATTTTATGAAAATTGGATAACCTAGGTGAAATGTTCATAAACTAGGTGAAATGTAAATAAAATATACTAAAATCAATAGAATAGGTTAATGTTCATAAAATAGGTAAAATTTATAAAATAGGTGATTTTTTTAAACGGTGAATTATCATAAAATAGATGAAGTTTCAAAAAAAGGTGAAATTTCAATAAAATAGGTGAATGTTCAATAAGCTAGGTGAATTTTCATAAAATAGGTGAAAATTCATAAAATAGGTGAATATTAATAAAGTACGTGATTTTTCATACAATAGGTGAAATTTCAAGAAATAGGCAAATGTTTTTTAAATATGTGAAAACACCGAAGTCGTATGTGGTTTTGGTTTGCTTTGGTTACGTTAGGATAGATTCAAGTTCAAAGAGGTAGTAGAACGTTGCAAATAGATGTCTGAGACCTGGATCACTCCAAGATGGTTGGAGAACCACAACTGTATTGTCCACAGAAGCCACTACTGCCACTCTGCCAGTTTCTGGTGTCTAGAACATAACTAGGTCACATCTTTCCAAATCTAGTTATCGACCCTCCGAAAAGGCTTGACAGAAGTGTTTGAAACCAGCGGTTCCTGTCACACACAGCAATTTAACCCTCAGGGGTGGGGAGAAAGCACTTATTGAGGAGTAATTTTTGGAAACCTGATGCGCAGCCAAAATATGAAAGTGAATAGTTAAAAAATGACATAATCATCATTCTGGCCTAGGAATACCATAATCATCATTTGTGGTTTGTTATTAAATTAAAAAATGACGGTACGTCCTCCTCAATTTGTATGCTAAAGTGGTAGGGGTTTTTCGGTCATTGAATTCTGTAGAACCCTTCACGTCATCCCAAACGTCGTCACCAGCGAAACATGTGAAAGGTGCGTGTGCTGTATTCACTACAATTTCCTCCGGAACTGGACATTGTAGGCCACTACACAGATTGTTGGTCTCTCAATAGCTCGTACCCAAGAGCGGGTGCGGCTGATAACCTGCGAGTGGGTGTTAACCAGTAGATGGCCGTGAACACAACTAATAATAACCGCCGGCGACGGCGTCAAGGAACCGTGCGTCTTTTCTCCTTGAAGGGGCGCTTAAGCCAAAGGTAGTTGGCGGGTGAGATAGCTTTACATGCCATACAACACATGCCTATATGCTTTTAGTGCTCCTGCTGCACTTCCATTGACAGTAACTATGTTATTCAATCAATCATGCGAACCTAGTTGAATCGGTTTATATAACCGCGTGTCAGCTTTTTGGTCAACAGCCTGCCTCTGAGCATACCAATCGCAAGCGTCGTTCGCCTGCTGTGCAGCACGAATATGACGAATCTTGCTATGAGTCGGATAGACACATGATGTCACATCTAAGCCGTTGCAAGCCCTGAAGAAGCCAAGGCCATTGCCTATTGGGTAGCTTATGGCCTGCACCCACAAATCAAAACGACTCGACTCGGGTCGCTGGTGCAAACGCCGTCGTGGGCGTCTGGCCTGGATCACAAAGCCTCGGGCTTGAAACGGGTTCAAACGGGGGTTTCCAGAGATGTGGACGAGGCGACCTGGATTAGCCGCATGACTAGTGACGAGTGACTAGATTTATCAGTTATCAGCACCTACCACAAGCTACAAGCTCCGTTTGATGGCATGCACATTATATACCAACCCACAACCCTGGCATTTCAACTTCTGACTGGGGCGAATTCTGCGTCGCCGTGTCCACCGTGTCGCTGAGGACAAAATCCTGGGGCACCTGCTCATCATCTTCACAAAGCATGGCCTGGAGAGCACGGCGATAAGTGCAGCAATTCTTGCAGGATCCATGTCGAACAATGCGAGGTGGATACAGTACTTGAGAATCACCATTGATCACCCCTTCCTCAATTTACTTACATGACTGCCCGAAAATATCCGAATATGCTCCAAACTTAAAAGGGAAACAGCGGCCTGCATAGCATGAACTGCAACCACCTGTTTGTAAAGGGCCATGTTCCACTTCAATGATTATTTACCACAAAGGTGACTTCCTCACAACACGCACCACCATGGCACATTGCAACACCAGGATCTACAGTAAACGACGCTGGTAGCGCCTACAAGTGTTCCACGATTTAGCTTCATTGTATCCATTGCCCGTGAGAAAATGAAACGAGCACTACACGTAGTAGTCAATGCATCTTCGTGTGCACTCAGTCGGACAAACACCCGCCCTCCAAACGCGCAGCTTTGTTGACATGAACCCGTCCCCAATTGCAGGACCCAAACTTGCCTCTGGGGGAAGTCTCTAAATTCTAGTGGTCTGATCCATTGGTCAAACTGAGAATGAGAACACCAGAACCCACACACATACCGAATACCCAGGTGCTGTACTTGTTCCGAAGTGAGCATACCCAAGCCGGACGCCGGACTGCTCCCCAAGCCTCGCCTGCAGCGCCCGTAGCAGCGGCTCCGATGCCTCCAAGCGGCCTGGACGCACCAAAAGGTCGTCCACTGGAATCACCTGCGTCGACGGCGCGGGCGCAAATGACCCACTGCACAATGAAGACGCAAACGTGTGCTTCAAACATGATAAAACAAACATACAGTAATAGAAAACAAAGCATTCTGCTAGAATATACTAGAATAAGACACACATATTTCAGATATAGTAGTATATATATATATGAGGTTTCTCCAGTGCCTTCACAGTGCCTCAATGTCGGGATGTTGGTTCAGCTTCTCCCGTGACATCTTACTCGATTGAGTCTCGTTGCCGAGCCAATGGACAGTTGGTGTAGCCACTTTGGTTGCTTCGAGAGTGACCTTCACTTCGCTGGGTTTCTTCTGCATCATGTCCTTTGCTGCGGATTGTAAACCACATCATCATGTCAACCAAGGAGTGTCCACGGTTTTGAGATGTTTTGAGGCGATATCAGCCAATCCAATTAGTCTTGCAATCTGCCTACTCAACTCAACTAGGACTACTGACTACTTAATGACTTAATGACTTAATGTGCTTCACCCGAGCTATATATATGAATGACATGTTGCACAAAAACACTGAAACCCAACGTTACACAATACCCGCTTGGGCGACCAAACTTCATCAAACCGATGGATCCTCAATCTGCCTCCAAGCGAGCCAGTCGATCTCGGCGAGGTGCCCCACAAATGCTTTCCACGGCTGCCTGGGTGGATCGGCTGCCAGGGGTATTCTACATCCTATTGACATTCTTATAAGCCCAAACAAGGTTTATGAGAAGGACATATCGGAGAGGGCCCAACACATTCCCCTATTTGCAGAAGGGGGGAATGCAGCATTGTGTGGCTGACTTCTTGCATCCTTCCACAGCCCTTTGTGGTTCCACATCGTTCCACTGGTCAGTTCATCTTGGGGTCTTGCCACAAGGTCCTCCACTGATTCAAACACCTCCAAGTAGTCTGCCTGGCTGCAAAGTGGCGTTTCCAGTGCGGAAGGGGAATTGGAATCTATAAATTTGATCACACCGACAAAGATACACCGATGCTGCAATAAATGTTTGCTTATATGTAGGATAGTTGAGATTGTGGGTTTAGTGATGGGTCATGAGTCATAAGCATGAGCGTGGAAATGTGTGGCACACTAGCAAGGTGCAAAGACTGCCAACATCCCCTACCAGAATGCCCCCCACAAGCACACAACAAACGCAACAAATCTTTGCACAAACCAATTCTGCTGCTAGCCACTGTGTCGCTTGACCAAACCAAACCATCATTATTGTTCACTACTCTTCATTGCTCCTAGGTCCCTGGATCCTGCTCCACTGTGATGTACATGCAGCAAATCAGAGGAGAAACTGGAGAAACGCTTTCCCACGACCAGACTGAAGGCCTTCCCTCTGCCAAGAGTAAATTGTATCATTTCTCTTACGGCAACACCTGTCAAATACCTGCATAACTCGTGCAGTCTGATGAATCTATTGCTTTGACCCCTCTTCACTGCAAATTAATGTGTCAGTGACCGCTGAAACCACAAATGATTGACACTTCTCTGTTTCTCCCCAATGTGATCTGGCCTACACATGGTGCATCCAATTGGCCCCCGACCACTCCCCTGACCCAGTAGATAGAATAGAAGGATTCCACACCAGCACATTGAACTTGAAACGGCCACCTCAAATCGCCTGCCTCCGTTTTCACACGTTTTGAGCAATTTCCATACCATTCCCCTCCTCATTCTTTGGGAGGACCATCCCATGCACCGCCAACAGCTCCGCCGCGGACTCTTCGCCATAGCAAATTCGCACCTCCTGCAAAGGCTTTCATCGAAACACGGGTGCTCAATGGACTCCAGGGTGACAAACTTGTGTGACAAAAGGAATTTGAACAAAAGTTATTCTCTGGGTTGGCAACTGGTCGGTTTTTTTTGTGCTGCTTTCTGGGGAGGCCTCAAGATTGTTTTTTTTTTGGGGGGGTTGTGACCCAAAGACATGAAGATGAATGTATCAGAATGCCAGGCCTAAGCCAAGAACGATGCCAGCTCACCGAAGCAAACCATTCTATTCAGTTCAACTAACCTATCTGACCTAACACCCTATCCTTTTGCAGGGCATAGCGCAGCGTAACAACCGAGCTTTCTCGCTGCTGTTTTATGCATATAATCAAATGGTGTTTGCTTATTGATCAACGTGTGTTTCCAGCCCTTTCTTACAGTAAACACGTCACGCCATCATTCATGATGCGTCCTTTTCTCCTTTTCTTCTTCAAAGCAATGCATTAGAATCAAACCATCTGTCACATGAATCAAATGAAAAGTACACAATTATACACACGCTTACTTGTGTAATGGATTGACACGCGATATATATATATATACAGTATATATATACTACTGTATACTACTGTAGTATCAATTGGTTCTTGACATTCCAGCAATAACATAATATCAAGAGTCAAACATGATAAAAGGTGCTGCGTCACATTTGTACCATATCGGCAATCGTGTCGGTCTTGGCGATCAACAACCGTGATTCAGTCATCATCGCAAAAGAAAATGGTATTCCAAGGATGGCGACATCTTGCCAGCGATCTTCAACAAGCGACTTCCTTCTGCTGTATCTCCAGTCTCCAGCTTGGCAATGCCCTGTTGATACAATGCCAGGGCCTCGGACTAAGGATTGACCGAATGGGTATTTGAATCTTGACTTATCTCACTCCAGCGTAATCATCCACATAGGCCCATACTGAGACCCGCTTTGAAGAAACAGCAAAAACTCCAACACTAGCTGAGCTTTGAGAAGGTCTTGCGAAACCTCACCCGGAACAGCCGCCCATTGAACGAACAACATCATCGCTGACAACTCTTGGCCTCCTGGTCTTCCATGGTCGCTGGGACAAATTCCGTGGGCGTATCACCTCAGCACCGCGATTTGCGGCGGTGCTGCGGGGTAGGATCCAAGGCCTTGTTGTTTTTCTAAATGGTTTGAAGTCCGCTTGCGGTCCACCATGGATTACCAAAATCACCAAGGAGTAACCCACACACGATGACAATGACACATGACCATGCTTGATCAACCCACAGCTGCCTCCTTAGAATGGATGGGTTTCCGTTGCGCTAGATCGTAACACTGCAGCTTGCAAATGCTCAATTTATGAGCCGCTAGCCAGGTGGACTCTGAGTGTCCAGCCTTGTCGCTTGGATGATGGCAGGTTGATTGTCGGTATCTGTTGATCATTGTTAGGCCCTGTTCTCAACAATCTTCATTCAGCATCGGTCTAATGGTTTTTGCATTCCCAAATGTTACAACTCATCATGCAAATGGCCTTGTCTCAAAGCAGGTGTTGTATCACAATAATGAGGCTTCTCATACCTTCTGATCAACCAATGGCTCTTGCGGCTTCACGACGTTGGCCCATTGTCCATCTCATTCTCCGGGTCCGCGGTTACTTCCACCCCAAAGATGGAACACATGCATTCCAAAACGCCATCCCATCCTACCATCCAAGAGGCCCATCTCAGCAGCCCTGACTTCCGCTTTGAGCGCGTCTCTACCAGGTGCCCACGGCGGCTTGCGAAGCAGCCACTGCCGCGGCTGCGCATCCACCACCCAAAATCCACCTGAGCAATGGAAAGCAACCCTTGGACAATCCATATACTGGTTGGTTAATTACGATCTATCTGGGTGAATGATGATACAGCGTTTCACAAACCTAAAATAAGGTCCATCAACTTTGTGTAATTACCATATACAATCATTTCCAGTGATGTCGTGTGACGTCGTTACAATTGATCCGATTCAAAACATTAACCTGGTTGACTATTTACTATTACTGGGTACCTGACAGTCTTACTCTTGGTAAAACGGGGATACATTAAGCCCCGGTTTACCAGTATGGCTTTGGAAGGCCACTCCTGCCGGCCACTTCTCCCCCAAATCTGCAGATCCAAGGCCGACAGGCCAGCGTCTTCGGGAAGTGGATCAAGTTTGGGAGGATCCAAACTGGAATCAGGAAGCTCTACTCTGGTGAATTCGGGGTCCCCAAACATAGTGAAAAAATCAATTGATTTCGACATGGCATCCATACTGCTAGGACCTTGGGTTTATTCTTGTGAGCTAACCTATGTATGACAAAATAGTGTGCCATTTATTGAACCACATCCATACATCCCGATTTTGTAGTGATCAATTTTTTCGGAGTCTGGGGTCCTGGGTCCACAACCTGCAAATCCCCTCCCGAAATGTCAAAGGCAAGGGCAGTCTAGGAGTCCGGATTGGGGCAACTATGTGGCTACATGAGGACTTCCTACCCTGCCCCGCCCACCTGCTGCAAAGAAGAAGGTGCCACACAAACCATGGAAGAGGTCGTCATCTGCTGACCTAAGGGTGCAGTGCCATTATTGGACGAAATGTTTTGGCCGCCGCCGCCGGGAATCTAAAAACTCTGTATTTACTCACTGTCAGCAATTTTCAATTGATTGCCCTTGGTGTGTATGATTTGATCATATCATACATCATCATATATCAAATATATAAGTTATACAAACTATATCCGGCAAATAGAAAAAGATACAAAAAAACAACATAGTAGGCCAATCGATCGGTCGATCGACCGATCGTTCGATATCCATGGTCCATACTAGTCCATACATAAAGATTTTGTCATACAAATAGCACAGCTCAAAACATCTTCACCCTCTTCCTCATTTCTAACAAAAATCCAGCCACTGACTCGCGCCAACCCCATGCTCTGTAAGGAAGGAAGAAAGATCTGCTTCCACAGCAGGCCAGTCTAGATCATCGCCCAACAATACCTTGGATGTGCTTCACATGTCACATGTCCCGACAGTTGTCAACAACATTTAGTAAATATTAAATATTCCCGGGCACATATTAAAAATACAGACCCTCATTTGGAAGAAAATCATTCCGGAGCCCCCTAAATATGGTTTTTATATTTGCCTTTAAATTACCGCCCTTAAAAGCCGCTACTTAACTACCGACATGGCCGACTTTGGCGTAGTCTTTTAAATTAGGTTCCAAAAACAACCGTAACTGCACACCTCTGTTGATCCACCATGACACGCAAACGCACTTGCCACCGAGGTCACGCAAAACCGCATGGCACAGCGATATCACCTTTCGAAAGCTTTAGTTGTTAGTCTACTGACGCTAATGAAGAATCACTATTCTAATAAAAATGTTTGTAGGGGAAAGGAAGACCCTTTGATCAGGAGGTTTTTTGAATTTTTGATACGAGTTTACTAAGAAAGGATGATATATAACTTTTTTCTGGGTGACTCGTTGGTTTTGAAGCTCTTCCCAGGTGACCCTATTTTGGACAACCCCGATTTCAGGGACCCCTATTTTAAAAAAATGCGACCGAGGTTTTCTTAATAGGGGGGCCCCTCGTGTTTTTCAATAGGTGGATGGTATTACTGACCCATGCATTCCAAAGGCAAACATTTCCCGTAGACGATTCGCTTTTTTCATGATTTTCATGGATTGTCACCGATGTTCCCTGTATTCTCGTGCTGGATTGTCACTGAGGTGCTCCTCCAGGTCGCACCAGCCGAAAAGCCTCTGTGATTTCCAGTTTCGTCTCCCCTTTCAAGTGCGCGGAGTCCAAATACAAGAAGTCCTTTTGCAAAGGAAGATGAAACAAGAAAAGAAGAACTGAAAAAATGAAACGAGTGTTCTTCCCATTTTGGAGGGCTGGAAAAGAACACTGAAAGAATATGACCTGCGATGCGAGCTGACAAATTTCTTCATGTTATATGTATCCTTTTCATCTACAGGCTTTGGACAGTTTGGACGTTGCGCCGCTTGTCAAATGAACAGCTTCTTTCGAGTTTGGCCTCCCTCCTGGGCCGGTTCCCCCCATGAGTGTGCAACGAAGAGTCCACCAAGGGTGTTGTTCCCTCGGCTGCCAACTGCTGAAGAGCGCGCAAGCCACAAAGGGAAGCGATAGGAAATGGCACAATCACATCCGCATATTTCCGAGTGTTCACCATAAACTGCTGATAAAGTTGTGGGCATCCATCTTTAAGCAACAAGCTGGACCTGCCGGTCGCTTGCTTGTTCAACCACATAGCAGCATCTCCCAGGAAGGTATCGATACAAACCAGGCAGGGTTTGGAGGGCTGGCTTTCAGGGTCGGCGGCCCGCAAGGCCGAAACCATTCGGATGCTGCTGCCACCCTTGAATGAGCCCACCTCCACCAAAAACATGGGCCTCAACCGTTGGAACAAGTCGCGCAGGACTTCTGTCGGAATGTTGGTGTGAGGATATGAGTGATCTTCCTTCAAGCCGCAGGAAAAATGGCAGTAGGGTCCAGTGGACGTCCCGTGAACGTGCTTGCAAAGGCTCTGGTGCAAAGGCTCGGGCTCAGCGAACGTCGAGGCCGGAAGGATGACGGGACCGGCCATGGCCTCCGGGAGAGTCGCCACGCGAGACGTCGACGAGCTGAGCTTTCGCGCCGCGCTGTTTGACCGGTGTTCGGGGGCAAACAGAAGAGTCGCGAATCACCCATCCTAACATAATGGCTCAACATGAGCCCCGTTCGTAGCGTCCTTGTTCCTAGTAGCGATGCCCTTTGCTCCTAGTAGCGTCCGAACGCTCCTAGTAGTAAGGCCAGGAGCCCCTAATAGCGTTGCTCCTAGTAGCGATGCCAGGAGCCCCTAACAGCGTCCTAACCGGCCATGGCCTTCCTCGTCTCTTTCTGCCAGCCACCCAGCCACCGGTGCCCCAGCCACCCAGCGATGAAGGCACCAGCTCCGACCAAGCACGTGAACTCGGCCATGGGCCCCCGTCTGGCATCCCCAAAGTGGCCAGTTCGTGCGCACGGATCCACGTGGCCTTTGAGCAGATTGGCTGCTTACAACCAATGGCATGGTCTGCAAACTCGGCCACATGAGCCTTCTCGCTTTTTATTCCAGTTGACCTCCCGTCCTCGCCCGGCATCACCGTCTGAGGGGCATGGACCTGCCGCATGATTTCTCAGCTGGTACAGCTGATAAGCTGATGACTTGGGTGACTCCGCACAGGAGTCACACCAGTGCGTTCTGCGCCCCCATGAAGAATTCACACGTGGCTGCTGGGTTGATGGTTGAAGGGTGGGAATCAGAAGACGCATGGTTCTTAAATTCTTAAACAATCAGGCTAGCAATGGTCGAGTCGTTGCCATGTGCAGTCCCACAAAAGCAGCGCACCTAAACGCTGGTCTTAAATTCCTCCAAATTCAATCGTTATTAAATTTGACAGAGGAACTGCTGCTTCCAACCCCCCACATCACAAAGATATACCTATTTCATCCATTTTCATCCTATGTCATTATTTGTTCTCTCCGATCTGCTGGGAACGATTTAGTTCGCTTTGAGAAATGCCAGGTGAACATTCTGACTTCCGAACATCTTCCTTTCTCGGGAAACCCACACAAGATACCAATATGGCACCCCACTGACCAGTCATCCCGATCATTGACACCTGGCGATCTCGGACCCTGGCACCTCGAAGCGATCGCCCTCCAAAGACCAAGCCCTGCGTTGCCATCCCGAGATCTCGTGATGGCAACGAAAGGGAGGGCTGTGCCGGGCACAAAAGGAAAAAGTCGAACTGGAGTGCTACTATACGATCTACCAAGGTGGGATTTGAGATGAATTTTGGATGGTTTTGGGAGGGTGTCTCCCAAGTGTCAAGCAATTCACTAATTATCCCGCACTGGGCTCACAGCGAACACAGCACCAATCTCTGCAAAATATGATGAAGTCATGTGTTCTCCGGGTCCGTTGACCATGTCGGGAAAATACTACTAACTCCAATGGTTATGCCCCTTTGACAAAGGAGCTATTCCCCGTCTTTCTGTCTTTCGACTGGGCACTAGATCCGTGTGTCCAAGTGGTGGTTTCACCAAGATCTTCACCAAGCCCAAACATGGACTTCTTAGCCGCACTCCTGCCGCGCAACCAAAAAGGCGCCGTTGCAGCGGTCTTTCACACGTCTCCAAACCAACACTTTCATATATTGAGGACAAACAAGGACAATGGCAACCTTTAAGTTGACAGGCAAATATTCACAAGTTCCTCCGGATCTCGGAGAATGATTCAGGATTACAAGAGCCATGCCAGGCTCTGCTTCATATTAGATGCAATGTTATATACAGTGTGAAGCTGTTAAGCCAAGGAACACCTCACCAAACTTACGGTATGTTTAAACAAGAAATGGCCGAAGCGTTCGCTTGAGGCTCCAAGCACTTCGTGTACGTCTGAAGAGGCCTGGATGCAAAGGCTGGCTCATCCACATTGAGACACAAAAACATAAGCAAGGGTAATGGTAGCAATCAATCTGCATTTTTATCTGTGAGTATGAGTAGCCGGTGATCAAGGTCAAATTTGTCTAAATACCGACTTGCCAATGCGCCCGGAGCCACTTTTCCGTTCGCTCATCCTTAGTTTTTTTTTGAGCTCTGTTGGTTCCCCGTCGCGCAGCAGAAGAATGTATAACATTGTATAACCGCCAAGTCCCACAGCACAGCTCGATGGAGTCTGATCTCCAAGGCTAGAGCCCTTCTGAGGTGAAAGGTAACTAAAAAATACTAAAAACACACATGGACAATCTGAACCCCTCATGTTTTCAGCCCCAGGCAGATCGAGGCTCATGGTTGAAGATATCCTGGCGCAGGGGGCACTGTGCAGCCCGCGTTTGAGCCCTGCCCTTGGTCCTCCATATGTCAAACTTTGGCAAACAGCCCTCTCAGGTAGTCTTTTGAGAATAAATATTGATGAGTACTTTGCGCATCTTAAATCTGCGTATACCTTCGCAGTATGATGAGTCTGTTTTCCAGCATCGTAGTGAGAGACAGAGAGAGAGAGAGAGAGCATTGTTGAATGCCCCTGGATGAAAACTAAATGCCACTGAGCTGCTGCCAAAGGAATCATTGCCCGCACCTGGACCATCTCTACGCAAACGGCATGAATAAAAGACGACTTGTGCAATTGTTGTTCAATGCAGGGATTTGCGTGAAGCTTGAAGGAATGGTATTGAATGATTCATGAATGGCACATCAGCTGGGCATGATGCCAGTCATTCTCACAAACTGTTTTGGCATGGACGGGGCAAAACATGAATGCACTAAATAGATTAAGCCAAGCCAAAGATAAAAACTTGTCACAGCTTGTCGTGTGCTCCAAGAGAGGAGGAGACATTATGATAAGAGAAAATAGCCACGGCAAATTGGCAGGAGTTTATCCTCGGCTTAATATATTTTATGCTAAAATTGCTAAACAAACCAGAAATCGTCCGCCGTTAGACAGTTAGTCAAAGCTTTAGACTTCCTAACTCATTACCACGTTGTCCAGCTCGGCCACTCTGCCTCATCATCAACTGCAAAGGAGCGAGTAATCACAGCGCTCACTGCCCAGCCTTGGAATCCCGAGCTGCAGTCAAGGGATAAGTCCGTCATAGGAGATCCAATCTCACCAAGCTTCATGGTTTGTTGAGCAAAAGGTAGCCAAAGTATATATCTATATATGATGTACCAGGTCTCGTGATGATTGATTTCCAGCCTTGCTGGCTTGAGCTTCACGAGCGTTTTATGGTGCATGTGCATGACAATGAGAGGCAGCTCCTCCACTAATCGTGGTTCTGTCCATGTCTGCCACACACGAAGAATCTCAAGGCTGAGTACACACAGCATCAGATCATCACACAGCTGCAGAAAAACATATACATTTTATCGCTACTTTCGAACTCAAGTCAAGCGACCCCAAAATCAACAAAACATGTTTCTTGCATACTGGACAAAGCCTAGATAATGTGCAAATCACAGCCCGGCCGCCAGAAAAAGATTGGTCCTATCAAAAAGCGGCCAAACACAAAGTTCAACTGATCACATCTGATCACTAGTACCCTAGTTGCGCCCTGGTTGCCAGTAAAATCAGCCTTTGGGGGATCTTTCGGGCCGGTCTACCGTCGAACGCCCCACGGAACGAAGCGCACGTTTGTTCGCCCCGCGAGCCAACCGCCGCGACTGGGTGTCTCACACGCTGCGTCCCGCGGCACGTTGCCATTTCCAGAGACCTGACGGGGCACCGACCGTGAGGACCGAGACCTCCGTGAGGACCGAGACCTCCGTGAGCGTTCCAGGTGTGGGCGGCGGTTTGCTCGGTAGCCATTGGGCGGAATGATGTCCAAACCATTCCGGACCCAAATTAAATAAGATGGCATTCAAATAGCTCTACCGACTTGAGCACGAGGATGCTTGCGAGTGTTGCAGAAAGCATGCTCACTAGATGCTCACTCACTTGCCTACTGGATCAAACCATCAAACGTTCTCAAACCTTTGGTCCTACCATACTACCTATCACTGGCAGCAAAGCCTAGAGTGTGCGGGTACCCTGCCGCCAGGCGCACCCATTGAGCAGACTCTTGGATCTGCTGAGAGTAAGCCAAAAGCTGCTCGACCTGGTCGCCAACGATGGGCAGCGTCTGGTTGGTTCACCTCTTGGGGTGGTCTCCCATAGCAGGGCCAGGCGAGACAATCGAGCAACCCCAACATCGCTGGTCAAATGAAATGGTGTGCGGCAACAAACAGCAGCCCCGGCATGCCCGGCCATACCAGTGCAGCATGGCTCCCCCTCACATGTAGCTCATTCAAGAATGCAAATCCCGTTTGAATTCTTTATTGTGCAAGCATTATGATACCAGTGGTTCTCACAAAATCATGATTCTGGGAACAAATCGTGGCAACACATTGTCCCAATTATATAGTCCTATCTAAACAAGCTTGCGGCTGGCACTGGTTCTTGCGATTTGCCTATGTGCATGTCCTACAGGCCTGCCTTCTTGCTTGTGAGGGTTGTCCTCCAGGTTTGGTCTTGGACAAAACATGACAAACATGCATGCTTGACTCCTTGACTGTTGAAAACAAAGTCCACACTGCCTTTCTGAGCGCCACCGGGCTTCCCGACCGTGGCAGGCCACCCCAGAGTGATGATTGCATCCTAATCTCTGCAGATCCCACGTGCTTGTGCACTTGGATGTTGTTTGGGATGTAGTTCGAGAATGTTCGAGATGCAGTATCAACTGGTGATTGCATGGTTGCTCTAGCAACCAAATCAGCACATGCATCACGTGTGGAAATTGGTGTGTCAATCTGTTCTCACTACCACTAGTACATGCCGCAAAGTCATAGCCAACTGACCCGTGCTGATCAAAGCACTCCAAAGCAACAAAATCCGCCAGGCCTTTGACATCTTTTGACTTTGACATGGGCTCCCCGTCCAACAATCATCGTCAAGCTTGTGCCACATCACTGAACAATGCCCACAGAATCGCCCGGTGGACGCCCCCGGAGCGCGTCGATCCCCACCTGTGGCCAGAACCTGTGGCGAACGTGGCCATCCGAGACGACGGCCTCAGACCGGGACACCGATCCTTGATCTGCAAGGAAGGGGCCAGAGATGGCCAGAGAACATGAATGGCCCATATCAAGGTGAGTTCTGTTGCCAACTACCTACCACTCTAGCGAACCCAGTCGAATCCAATGACCTTCCCTGGCAACATTCTCCAGTATCGAATGGTCACCCAACTCACTCTAGCAGCCTTCGCCCCAAAACTTGATTTTCAGCAACTCACCCAACGGTCCATTTTCAGCTCCTGCGCGAACCGCGTCTTCGGTTCAAACCTGGGAGTCAAATCGCTTCTCTGGCAAGACACTACAACTCAAGAAGAAAACACAAGCGATCCATACGCTCAAGACAACTTTCAAGAATTTTTTCTACACGGGGGCTTGTTCAAAAAACTCGGTTCAAATCGTGGACTATTTGAACTATCCCGCTTCCTCTCCCCTCTGTGGAAACCTCTTTAGCCTCACGGTTGCAAATCGCTGCCCTTGATGTGCAGTATCTCTAGACAGGCATGCTGATTGCAAGATTGCTTTACACCGCCGCCGCCGCCATTCAAAACAGTGTCAGCACAAAAACCCTTACAGTACTAAGATGATATATATGTTGGCTCATGCAAATTCAAAGACGCAAAAAGGCACTATGGGGCACCGGTGAATTGCACAAACACTGCACAGTTTAAACTGGAAAGTCGATGTGCAACTGATTGCCAGTTTAATGTGGATCATAGAAGGTCGGCAATGACCACAACTCAAAAAGAGAGAGAGAGAGAGAGTGCGGCACACGAGCATGCTTGCTTGCAAAGATTAAGCAGCCTCCACTTCCCACTCATCCCTGTCCCCGACTGTCCCACAGGAGACCCTACACGTGCCATAAGTATCCATTCTTATATATTTATTTATATAACTAGTGATGTATGACACCAGCGGAAAGCACAATGAATATAGCGTGTCTTGGCATCCAGCCCCCCATCTCAATGTTGATGACAAGCAAACGCATCACAAAGCGCAGTTTGTAGCTATAAAAACCCATGGCCCATCAAGGTGACCCCTTCAGTGTAGGTGTGCAAAAAATATGTAACTGACATGGTATCAAATATTAATGAGTTTGGATGAGTTCGGTGAGATACAGTGATGGATTCCGATCAATTCCCACAAGCTGGCCCCATCTCGACCCAGCTGAGTCCGACCGGGCCCGACCTGAATCCACCACACGAAGTCCGTGCTGAAGTGGATCGTTTCACGCTGGACTCCGCGCTGCACCAAGTGTTCCACCAAGGCCTGCCGTGTCAGAAAGGCGCCGTTGCTTTCGGCTCAAGGGTGGGCCCCTGTTGGATGTGGTAAAAAGAATGTAGAACTCCGGTCAAAGTATGGCTGACTGGTAGGTGGTGGCTCAAAGGGCTGGCAAATGGAAACAGTTTCGAACCAATTCTTGCAAAAAGTGAACTGTGAAACCCTGCACAGGAGCACCAATATAACCAATGACTATCAGCTACAATATATATATATATATATATTATACTAATCTATACTAATCTAATATTGTACTATACTAATTTATACTAGAGGATCTATAGGTACATACTATAGGTATCTGTATAATATATATATAGGTACTTTTGGTACTGACTATGGTTAGAGCTATAGTAATACAATGTAGGATAGAATATGCAACGCAGCGTGAAGGTCTACGAGTACCAAACCACCTGGCCACCTTTTTTCCGACGCCTTCATGTCTTCACCTCTTTTGGGCTTCGACGCTCGGGCTGATCGGAAGCTGTGAAGCCATCACGGGAGCCACTGTACAGGGCCAGGGCCTCGGGGATAACGAAACCATTGGCAAGACGAAGGCACACATTCTGATGGCAGAATGAACTTTTTACATGCTCGCTCCCAACTTGGGTCATCACGGATGCCACAGAATCCTGGAAATGGGTCACCAGATGACCACACGCAGGACGCCACACAATCTTCAGCACGAGAAATGGTACGACAAAACTCCCAGGTGCTCGAATTGGCCGTGACATCGCAAAAGCCCAGAGTGCTGGCATTGGTTCCCGGTGCGCCACTGGTGTCCGGCACTGAGGCCGTCTCAGATCTCCTCTGCAGAAGTGTGAGGCACATGGCCTCATCGTGGACCTCGTCATCGATCACATCTGGCAGCTTCAAGTTGACGATGTTGACTTGACCAAAGGCCAAGGTGGTAAGCAGAAAGAAAAGCACCAACATTCCCATGGGGTTTCAGATGGAATGGCTGGCTCTCTGTGTGCTGCGTGCCTAGGGCTAAGCCCAAACATGTAACGGCCTCTTGAGGTAATAACCTCTAACCAGCCTTCAAATTGCAAGACACAAATCAGTCAAGTAAACAGTCTTCAACCTATCAGAAGGTGCCAATCCTTCTCACACAAGTCCACATCATGTGGGGCAGCTTTCGGATGTCCACACCAACATTCTGAAATTCAGCCCCCTGAACATCCCTCCCTTCCATCGCGCCATCTCCACACATATTTGTTTCACATGTTCGAGCATGTTATTTCTACCCGGCCCGGCCCTGCACCTCAAGGACGCCCTCAAAGGCCAAGTTGAAAAGATCGTGGCCTCACATGTCGTCGAGCGGGTCTTCCGCTGGGATGTTGGACAACCACCACATGCAAAACCTCCACCACCCTGGAACAAAGAGTGTCTCATGTCCTTTTCAGACATGCTGTGTGGGGCCACCTCTAAAATCTAGCACCTCCTCCCAAAAATGCACCTTCTAGATTCTAGAAGGTCGTCAAATGCCGTCAGCCAGCCCAACGCAAATCCCCTATGCTATGCTGAGCTCACTCGCCTGCCAGGAGCCCTCCCGGACGGATCTTCGGACGCCACAAGCGCAGGTCTTCCCGCACCGCTGAGTAGCTGTGATCGCCTTGAGTAGCTGCGTGGCAGCATTTTTGGGCACGGCGGTTGGTGGGGTGGGGGGGTCTCAATCCCGAAAGTGTGGTCACCACAGTGTGGTCCATCCCTCATGATTGAAGAACAAATATCAATTATTATCAATTTGACATGTCATGTCTACTAAAACAAACGTTCAAACCTGTCAGGCCCGTCAGGTCAAAAAAAAAGGTATAAATAAAGCACAAGTATAGTAGGAGTTAAGGATAGTTAAGGCGTCAAATGACTTGGGAAAGTGTGAATTTCCATGTATGCTTTCTAAATCACATGTCCTCCGAAGTAGTATGTAAGTTTTGGGCATCTCTTTGGATCCTCTCTTAGGGAGGTCTTGTTCGGGCACGAGGTTGAGACCTAAGCGGTCGGTCGGGTCGAGATGGGAATGTGGTTTACAACAATTTGGATCTAGCATGATCTAGCAAACATGTCCGAAAAAACTATTTGAATACTGTAAACTGTAAATATCACAAACCAACGTTCGGCGAACATGCAGCCTGCCTGCAGCAAATTTCAAACACTGTTTCCGCAGATTTGTGGGGAGTCTTTCCCACCTCGTTTCGCGCGCTTCCAAGAGACCATCGATAAACACCACGTCGAAGGTCTCAGGCGGAAACCTTGGCAGGCGGTCCCTCGGGTTGAAGTGAAACAGCGGAAGCGAGCGGAGGACCCAAGAGGAAGCAAGCCACCCCAGCGGACGGCTGCCATGATTGAAATCGCCTGGACATCCTTTTGAAATCCAAGATATTGATACTGGCACCAAGGAACATGCCTGTACCGCGTGATCACTCATCTCTTCCAACCCATGCACCGCCAAACCTGCGCCCCCAGTCCTCAGCCCCAAGCCGTGCAGCTGCTTCCTGCGAGGACATGCGCCACAGCCTGGCGAAGCCGGCGATGCCCCAACGGCTCGAACGTTCGCTCCCCTCGTGACGCACATCGGCTCTGAAAGTCACGACCCTCATCGCATCGTCTATGAAGTCTATGAGTCTATCATGGGGGTTTTCTTGCACACCAGTTCAATATGACAATGCAGTAGACAAGATCATCTGCAATATTGTCAAAACTAGCTTGTCTAGCTGGTGGACGGTGGAACACTCGACTTGGTAGATCCGGTTGATGAAGTCAATTCGGACTACGAGTAGTAGCACAATTCGGAATTGCTGCAAATTTCCTTCTGCGTCCTCTTCCCTGGCAATCACTGCTGCAACATACAGTACTCTTACCACAAACTACGAGTACCACACCCACTGCACTTCAAAAGGAACCCATGTCGTATTCACAACCTGCATCCTGGCGCGTGGTCATCCTCAACCCATCCAGCGCCTTGCACGCGGGCCATAGTTTCCAATACGCTGAGACGCTTCGGCGAAAATGCTTTCAGCGTCATAGAAGGGATCAACTCCATCCTGCTTGCTGGAGGCTGCGGTGAGGTTGCGGGCGCGCTTCTCCCGCCACGGCGGCCACGACCAAGGACCCGGCGGGTTTTTCTGTGGTATCACAAGAGGTGTCTGTCAGTCAAAGAACCTTGCAACTCTTGTGCAGCCTGGAAAATGTTGACTACATTTTACATGCACCGGAGCGCTTTTCACACATCCTGTGAACTATTCTTGGCAAACCACCCATCAACACTTTGGAACCAGGTCAAGAACTTTTCACGAACAAAAAAGAGTATGAGTATATGCATGAGTAATTGTGTAAGGGTGGCGGGGCATCAGGAACATGTTCCGGATAACGCCTCGACTTGTACCATGGAATTGAACAAATGGCCTGTGGGAAGACCCTTCCCCCGTACAATGACAATGATGTTTTCCAGTTCCATGCTACAGAGTGTTGGGTTTTTAGGAACCCGGAACCATATAACATACCATCGGCAAATTAAACGACATGGTGACATGATGGCTTTCTGTTACGTTTCTTTGATCATGTCAGAAAGCAGCATTTCTCCTGCCCTGTGAATCTTCGGCCGTTCTCATCAGTTTAAAAATAAAACAGCGTTGTCACAAAACTAAGGTAACCAAACCAACCCCTAAAACACGGATCCGGCCAAACTATTATATATAAGGCAACCAATGAGTCACCGTCCCACAAAGAACCCAACTCCCATTCGAGCCCCCAACTTGACCAACGACCAGCTGGGACCCAGGCAAACTCGAGACGGTCAAACTTCCGTAGCAAGTATTCCTGGGGGAGCAAATGTACATCATGTGAGTCGAACTCCCCCCTATCCGATCGCCAAAGTGGTGTCGATGCACACAAACTCCTGAGCATATGCAATGCACACTATGAAACGTGTCTTCAGCTCAAAGAAACACCCGGTATGGCTACCCGCAGCTATCCCAAGCAATGAGGAAGGGGTCAATGTCTATATATGTCTGTTTGTTAAAGATAATCCCTCGTGGATCCTCGTGGACTCCGCATTCACACGCTTAGTCCATCCGCTCACCATGAAGGTCATAACTCTAGCAAAGCGCTCCGGACATCGAAGGACAAATCGATATCCGGACGCTGGTGGGTCTCGATGTTGTTCGTGACTCTTGAAGACCACATCCGGCCCCAAGGAACACACTGACCATCAGAACAATACTGTACCCCTGTGGCGTTAAAGTTTCAGCTGTTTTGTTTTGGTGTCCCGTGCTGCGTGATGTGTCGCTTCTTGAATTGCCGGCAACTTTTCCGTACACTGCATACTAACATATATATATAATCACATATACTAGAAAAGCATCTGAGTTAATCTCTATGTTAATCTAGAAGGGATGACCCCAAAAAGGTGTGAGGCTTACACAACCTCATTGGACACACCGACAAAAGCTTTGACGTGAAAAAACGGCCTAAGGACAAATCATAGTCACTCTGTGTCTATATAGATACATATGGCCATACAACAGACTACGTCATGTTTGGCAGTTGCTTTCAACCACACCGTTCCAGGTGCCACGTCCCAAGTGAGGCGAGACTGCTAACGACTGTGCCACGACTCTGACGTGATCGCATTGTTGACCTCGGAGACAAGGAGCGGGCCAAAAGAAGAAACACAACACAAAAAAAACAAATAAACATACTAGGACCCACAAGGGGTGGTTAATGGACACCCCTTAACCTCTATATAAGGGGCTATCAATAGACACCCCTTAGGGTGTCCTGGTACTGCTGTTTCTTCGTTGTGTTCTGTGGCTGTTGCCTCTTGGTTGTGAGGTCTTGTTCTGTTAGGTTGCTGGTGTTCTTCTGCTGCTGATCGAGCCTTTGTTGCTTGTCAATGCTTGTGATGTTGGCGGCTGATCGTATTCTTGGTTGTTTGTCATTGCTTGTCGTTGTCGTCGTTGCTGGGTCGCCGTTGCCTTCTTCTTGTTCATATAGGGATGTATAGTCGCCATTTGTTGACAACATACTGACGGGCTTCCGGATGTTTTGCGGTGTGCGTCAGTTACCGTATTGTCATGTTGGTGGTGGGCAGTTGGTAGTTGTTTGAATGTCCCTATTGTTGTTTCCCTTTTCTTCTGCTTTCCTTTCTCACTGTTCGCACTCTGCCAGCCAAGTTGTTTGTTGCTCTGAGTTGCTGAATGGTCTGAATGTTTACTGATTTTTTCTTATGCCGACAAAACTCGCAGGACCACTGATAACATGTTCTGCTGTTTGGTCTATATGTGTGGCTCTCAAAAACGTCGCCGTCACGTTTTGTTTTGTTTGTTGTGGTTGTCTCTGCACCCTTTGTTTTCTTGACATGCTGTGTCATTGCACATCATACACTACATTGCATATAGTATGCACTGAATTAATTCGTGCCCTTTCCAAAGTCAGGTCCATCTGCAATGTACCTCCGAGCTGCCCCAATTTCCAGTAGCCGCGCGGACGAATCGGCAAGGGAGGCCTCGCTCTGCGACAAGAGCTCTGAGAGGACGTGGTAACCTGCACGCACGGATCAAAAAGGAGCAAATGGGAAAAGTGAAAAGGTTTTAAAAAAAGGCCAAAAACACAGAGTGAAGGAGGTGCCTCTTTGTAGCTCTCAGGATTTGGGCTTGCTTGAATGTACCTCACGCCTTCGACTTGGGCCTGCTGACCAGAAGAGTCGGTTTAACCAGGCGTTTCCGGTTGCCACCACAAACTTGAGTTTGGTAATATAATACCAAAAGGAAACACACAGCAGAACGGAAGGCACAGTCACAATCGCACAAATTGCACTTTGGATCAATTAGGAGCCCCTTAATACCCCACCCCTAGAATGCAAAAACAGGTGTGCCAGCAGGCTGCCAGCACATTCCTCTAAACTGGGCCATACACATCACCACAATTCCCACTGCAACACAAACTGTTTTACTGCCGAGCCACGGCGGCAGCAAGCCGGGTGGAATTCGAAGCGTGGCCAGCTGGCACCGGGCTCCGGCGCAAACCTGGCTGGCGCCGCTGCGGTGGCAAATCCGACCATCCGGTGGGGCAAAAGTGGGGTCCGTCAACCACGAACGATGAAACACATTTTCCCCAAGCATTGTCAGGAACAGAGGATTGGAAGTGAGAATTCAACAGTTTCACACAGATTTGCAGGCTCGGCTCCTTCCAGGCCAGGTGATGTTCGACCTTGAAAACCACCAACCACCAAAATCACCCTAGGAGCCTAAGAGTGTGGGATGTTGTAATATGATGAATATATGGCTGGCTGGCACCCCTCCCTAACTTGGTATCAAAATCAAATGGCGAAAGCGTCGGTTTCGCCACTATTTTGGACCCATGGCCGTGTTGCGCTTAGCTAAGCGGGTCCAACCGTGACTCAAACGAGCAGATCGCAGGTCCGTCCAGCGTCCAGCAGTTCGATGTCACAAGAAGCCGTGTGGAGGGCACATCAGCAAAGCATAGCAAAGCCAACAAGCTGCTTTCAATATCACGAAGGGCGAGCTTTGACAAACCTTGTTTCGGACTTATAGAACCTTTTGCATGATGTGGCAATGTGGTGCAATGTGAGGTAATTCAATGACATATAGTTCTATACACAAAACTACAGTGTGATACACTGTGAACAGAATCCAGCCAAATCCAACCAAAGTGTTTGGGATGTCCACGCATATGCATACAAAATCATACGAACATCTGACATTGAGGAATCGATCCAATGTTGTAGGACGAGTCATCAACTGATCCGAATCAGGCGTCGGGCGTCCTTCTTTGTAGCTGCGCGCCCAGCATGTCAAGTGTAGCCACGGCCAGCAACCTTGGATTGCCATTTGGTCTAACCACGAGTCATAAGCCGAAAGCCTGTCCCGTAGCAAGTATTCTTAATTTTGCTCCCAAGTCCTCAATCACAAAGGTCAAAGGCCGTTTGAAGTTCTACTCTCCCGACTTGACTGCTGCAACACGGATATATATTGCATTTTTGATCATTTTTGGCAGGTTCCGAGGCTTCTAAGGCTTGCTTAAGTTGCTGGACTGGGCGGTTCCCCCAAAAAACAGCCTTTAGTCTAAAGAATCTGCCAGAACATATATTGGGAGGTCCACTCATTAGTGTCTTGGACGCGTATAATAATAGACAACCTTCCGATATTGCATCATGTTTTTCATGTGACAAGTTGGTTCCTTCGGCCTAGTTCCCACCTTCGCTCCCACCCACAAATGGCCACGTTGCTCCGCTTGCAAGCGACAGAGCGCAGTGGCGCGGCGCAGGGCCAAGTCGTGCAAAGCACTGGCAGCGGCTACAGGGGCCTCCGGAGGGGATGGGCCAAATCTCCAGGCATTAAGGGATCTGTCGAGCCCCGAGCCCCTGCCGCAGAACGCGCAAGACTGCGGTGACCAGTGAACCGGAAATGTCGTCCACCGTCCTTTACCACGCAATTGGAGAACATGAGGTTACACATCTGACCCCTGCACTGAATACACTCCTCAAACACCAGCGCATGCTCGAAAAGACATCAACAAACTGCGCGTTCATCCGTGGTTTTCCTTAAGCTTTAACTTTGAGGCAGTGCATAATTTCTTAATTAGTTAATCGATTGACATGATGAAACTCATGGGCCAGCGCAAACCTTGAGGTATGTATCAATGTCAACATGTATCAACTAATTGAAAACCAACCAACCGTCTTCCGTGTTCCTGCCCTGTCGTCATGCCATAGAAAGTTTGTACGCCGAAACGTCGGGAGCCTCAAAGGTGGACGCCTCCAAGCCGGAGTGCACCTGGAGGAAGTTCAAAGCAGCAGCGTGCGTTTTCTACGTTTTGCCTGGAAAAGGCTCATGTTACATGTTAATTAATAATTGCCAATGTGGTTGACCTACAGTAGTTGATATTACAATATATAATGTGCGCTGATTTACATTGTACATTTAAGTCTGTTCATTACATTATATTATATTTTGATTTGGGTATGCTACTGCTACTGCTCATGCTACAGAACTTTGTATATAATCTATATAAAATGTTCCTTCTGTTGCCCTATTGACGGTACGGCTCAAGAATTGGGCTCGCTCCAGACTCCAGACCGCATAAGGACCAACAGGCCACCAGGCCGTGGGCTACGCGCCCCATAAGGACCAACGGGCTACCTCCAGTCACCCTGCGATAGGATCCTGTTCCACCCTGCACCGCTTGGTCTCCGGGTTCGACCGTGCACCGCTTTGGCGAAGTCCAAGTGCTGTGTGTCGAAGCCATGTCGCGCCAGCGCACCGCCCAGCTGGAGACCATGTGGCCAGGAAGCCTTGGAGATGCGAAACCACCGCGCGGATCGGTTCCGACGCGCCCAGGAATCAGGAGGACTGGACCGGCCAATGGTGTGACATGGTGTAAGGTTATATACGGGAAATATCTGATTTAAGCAAGGCATCAGCATGCCTCATCTGACTTTCCTGCAACTGCGGTGGCGCAATGCGGGAGTTGGGAGATCAGCCTGCACTCGCAGGTTGAACTCGCAAGGTATCTTGAATTCAGCCATAATAGGTTGCTTTTTTTGAGATAGGTTTAATTTAAAGTAACTTAAGTTCATTGTACTTAGTTGTGGCGACACGTGACTAATAACCACCCCACATAATTGAGCGAAGTGATCAATCTCTTCATGAGAAAACGAGGAGAGATCCAACAGAACAACATTATTTAGTGTTCTTCATGAGGTGAGATCCCAAATCTCTTCATGAGAAGGGATCCCCAAGACTAGTCTCTTGGTGAGAGATCCCCAAATCTCTTCATGAGAGGGAAAATGCCAAAGATTTGATTGTGTTAAGAGATGCCCCCAGAATCGAAAGGCGTTTTGGAGTGATACTTGGATTGAGAAGGGAAGGACGGGTATGAATGGC